CGTGTGGGACCGCGACCGCGGGAGCCGAGGACGAGGGCGAGGCCGAGGCCGGCTGGATCGAGGGAGCTGCGATCTTACTCTCAGTGGTGTGTGTTGTTCTGGTCACGGCCTTCAACGACTGGAGCAAAGAGAAGCAGTTCAGGGGTTTACAGAGCCGCATCGAGCAGGAGCAGAAGTTCCAGGTGGTGCGAGGAGGCCAGGTCATACAGCTCCCCGTGGCAGACATCGTCGTTGGAGATATCGCACAAATCAAGTATGGTATGTGTCCCCAAGTTCTTCTTTTTTTTAATACTTATCCCTCTTGTATTTATAATAGGTCCCTGATAAGTCCTTTACATGCAGTCTGTTAGCAAGCAGTCACATTATTTACAGCATGACACAAGCTGATTGGCCTCTTCTGATTCTGCAGCCAATCAGATTGCTTGCTCAACATTTAAATAGTCAGAATCAATATTTGTTGTAAGACGGTCCTGCAAACGTCAACATTAAGGGCCCGACAAACATTAATAGTGATGGAAGCCAAAATATTAAATGGCATGGAGAAATATTTACTGAGTAATTCACTATTTTGTACAGGGGGGTCAAAGTGATCATTTTCACCTGAGATTTGGAGCCAAATAACAGGAGTGTAAAAATGACTTTAGAAAGATGGCAGCATCATTATATTATTAATTTTGCACACAGATTGGTAGATCTATTCGTTAAATCTGTGTACTTTAGTGGACTTTGATAAGTGACCCACATTTGGTTCCCTTTCAAGGGAACTTCGAGCTGCGTCAAACGCTGTGGGAACGCCCCTGCGTTGTGCGTCATGAAGCACGTATGGAATCAGCCCAATGGAGAGACGGAACGTCATAGGCGGGTGACGTCATCGACCAGGAAACTATAAAGCACCCCAAAAACACAAGCGCATCAGCTTCTGTGCCTTCAGTCGCGCTATATGTGAATCTGTCTGAATGTAAACACTGTGTCTGTCTTTAGTATTTGCTAGGCAGGAGTTATCACATTTACACCACACAAACAATTTTGTATGAGAGACTATGGCGAGCGAACGGCATTTAAGAAGTGTGTTCCTCCCTGCTCGCGCTATCTAACGGGCGGGGATACACACGTTCTTTGTGTTGTTTGTTTGGGAGTGCATTATGCCCAGTCAGCTCTCGAGGGGGCTGGCTGCGAGCATTGCGAGCGTCTGCCTTTATGGACGCTCCGCTCCCGCCGGGCGCTCTTTGAGGAGAGTGCTCGGTGCGCGCTCCCCGCGGTTCGAGTCCCGCTTCTGCCGAGGCTGAGCGGCGACGCTTATCGTGGGGATCGCAAATGGATCTTTCAGCGGGGTTAGAGACGGGCTCTGCCTTATCTCTGCCTTTACCTGTTAGATCCAGTGTCTCAGCCCGGTTTGGAAGCACGCTCTGCGGTTTCTTCCGCCCGGGCTGAGGCACCAGTACTGCAACTATCTAACGTTAGTTATAAAAACTAGGAGATAAAAATAGCAGTATTGACGAGGGAGATGTGGAGGACTCGCCACCTAACACTCCCGAAAGCGAAGAGCTCAAGGAGGTTCTCACTCGAGCTGTATCAAAACTAAGCATTGAGTGGCCAGTGGCTAGGCAGGAGTCTGTTATTAAATCTAAGTTAGGTGAAAGATTTCTCCCTTCCCGTGTGCAACCTCCATGCCGGTGCTTGCCGTTTTTTCATGATCTCCATACTGAGGTGTCGAGATTATGGAAGAAGCAGGCTTCTGATATAATTTTAGCCCCCAATCATTCACATATTCAGATTTAGCGGGGGCTAGGTTTTTGAAAAGAAAAGACGGCGCTTTGCCGCGGGTAGAAGAGACGCTTGCGAGCTATCTCTCTTCCGAGGCTGCATTGTCATTCAAAGCACCGGCATTACCTTCCAAGCCATTATGAAATATTTCGGCTTTGTAAAGTGTATTTGGCGGCAGGTCAGGCTGCGTCGTGTCTGCATACAATGTCTATATTGCAGGCATACCAGGCTGATTTGCTAAAGGACGTGAGCGTGAGTGAGGAGGCAGTACTGACGTGGTTCGAGGACTGCGTCAGGCTGCCGATTTGTGGTAAAATTATTTTTTCCAACATGAAACAGAAAGAGAAAGCTTTCTTTTAGATGATCCTCTCTCCCCTGCGGGTTTATTCAGTGAGTTAGTTAATACTGTCATTGATAATTTCAGGAAGAAAAGAAGCAGGCAGCAGCTTTTAAAAGGTTTCTTCCATTAAAAGTTCACGTCCACGGGGCTGCTGGGCGGGAGCAGCCCCGGCCGTTCACGAGCTCATCGCATAGGCGCAGCAAAGCAGAGTATCGCGTCTCGCGCTCCCCCTGCTGGACAGTGGGACCAGACGCGGCACTCTCAGCCAAAGCTTTTTGAAAAATAAATATAATATAATATATATATAAAATATATATATATAATAAAAAAAAAAAAAAAGCAATAGAACTGGTTTGAGGACAGTTATATTGGCTATGCTGAGGGCGGTCCCCACCGAAGGAGAAAGGTGTTCACCTCTTTTTACGGTGCCCATTCTTCCTAGGTGCCCTCAGGGGCCCGTTCTGCCAACCCCGCCTTCATGCCGGGGCGCAGACGGTCCTGGCGAGCGCTTTCCCGAGGGACGCTCGCCGCCTCTGACACTGAGGGTGGTCCCCATCGAGGGAGAAAGGTGTTCACCTCTTTTTACGGTGCCCATTCTTCCTCGGTGCCCTCAGGGGCCCGTTCTGCCAACCCCGCCTTCATGCCGGGGCGCAGACGGTCCTGGCGAGCGCTTTCCCGAGGGACGCTCGCTGCCTCTGACACTGAGGGTGGTCCCCATCGAGGGAGAAAGGTGTTCACCTCTTTTTACGGTGCCCATTCTTCCTCGGTGCCCTCAGGGGCCCGTTCTGCCAACCCCGCCTTCATGCCGGGGCGTAGACGGTCCCAGCGAGTGCTTTCCCGAGGGACGCTCGCTCCCTCTGAGGAGGGTCTCAGAGCGGTCAAACCAGTTGTTCCCTGCCGGTGCGCCGTTACAGGGCGCTGTGTTTGCTGCTCAAATTACACCAGAGACCAGTCTCGAGAGACTGGTACCCTTAGTAGAATTTGTTTGGCAGAGTGGAAAAGCCTTCCAATAATATCTCAGTGGGTCCTGCAGACAGTAGTAAGAGGTTATGCGATCCAATTTAGGTGTCGTCCACCGAAACTCAGAGGGGTTCTGCCCATAGTGTGGGCCCCGAGCAGGCTCTGGTAATGGAACAAGAGGTGAAAATGCTCCTTCAAAAGGGGGCTATAGAACGGGTTCCTCCTCCCAGTTTGGAGCTAGGTTATTACAACCGATATTTCATCGTTCCAAAGTAGGATGGGGGGTTGCGTCCAATTTTAGATTTGCGCCTATAAAATCGCTCGGTAGGGAAGCTCAATTCAGATGCTCACTATCAAGCAGGTCGTGTCACAAATCAGGTCCGAGGGCTGGTTTGTCACGATAGATCTAAAGGACGCTTACTTCCACATTTCCGTACTTCCACAACACAGGAAGTTCCTGAGGTTTGCCTTCGGGGGCGAGGCATTCCAATATAGGGTTCTTCCGTTCGGTCTAGCTATCTCCCCGTACTTTATGGAGCAGATGGCGGTTCGACATCGAGATGTCGTCTTCGCGCATATCAGGAAGTTGGGGTTGAGGCTGAACGCGAAGAAAAGTGTTTATCTCCTTCCCTGGAGACCACTTTTCTGGGCGTTGTTTGGGATTAGGTCACCCGCATCGCTTCGATTCTTCAGCCTTGAAACAGTAAAGCTAGGCCAGCTACTCACTGTAAAGCAGTTTCAGAAACTGTTGGGTTTGATGGCAGCAGTGTCCAACGTTATACCTTGGCCTGTTGTACATGAGACCGCTGCGGTGGTGGCCCAGGACCAAGGGATTCTCCCCGAGGGGAAGTCCACTCCGCACGATCAAAGTCACGCGGCGCTGCCTTCGTGCTCTGGTCTTGTGGAAAGAAACTTGGTTCCTATCCAAAGATCCTGTGCTGGGGGCTCTTTGTCGTCGCGTAAAGCTAACGATGGATGCTTCCCTCACAGGGTGGGGGGCGGTCATGAGTGGTCGTCCAGCCCAAGGTCTGTGGCAGGACCATCATCTATCACGGCATATAAATTGTCTAGAGATGTTGGCAGTGTTTCAGGCTCTGAAACACTTCCTAGCAGACCTGAGAGGTCATCATGTGCTAGTTCAGTCAGACAACACGTCGGTGGTCTCTTATTTAAATCGTCAGGGGGGCCTGCGCTCTCGCCGGCTTTACAAGTTGGCCCGTCAGGTCCTCCTGTGGTCCCTAGGGAAGTTACTATCACTGAGAGCAATGTATCTTCCTGGGTATTTGAATGTGGTAGCGGACTCTCTGTCGAGGCAGGGGCCGAGGCCGGGGGAATGGAGACTCCACCCCGAGGTGGTGGAGCTCCTTTGGTTGAGTTTCGGTCGCGCCGAGGCGGACCTATTCGCTTCCAAGGAGATATCGCACTGTCGTCTGTGGTTCTCCATCATTCATCCAGCCCCTCTGGGGTTGGACGCTATGTGCAGCCGTGGCCGAGGTCACGTCTGTACGCTTTTCCCCCGATTGCTCTGCTACCAGGAGTTCTGGAGAGGGTTCGCCGGGACGGGGTCAGCCTACTATTAGTAGCCCCGTTCTGGCCGGCCCGAGTATGGTTTGCGGACCTAGTTTCTCTCCTGGACGGCTCTCCTTTGGAGCTCCCGGTCAGGAGGGATCTACTCTCTCAGGCGGGCGGCATGATATTTCACCCCCGCCCAGAGTTATGGAAACTGTGGGCTTGGCCTCTGAGGGGGCCCAGCTCTTAGATTCCGGTCTCTCAACCGAGGTTGTTGAGACCATCCTTCACTCCAGAGCTCCATCCACGAGGAAGCTATATGCCTTTGAAGTGAAAACTTTTCACTTCTTGGTATGGAGAACACCTGTAGGACCCAGTTAACTGCCCAGTGGGTGCAGTGCTGGAATTCCTGCAGGAGCGTTTCTCCACAGGGTTATCCCCCTCCACACTAAAGGTGTATGTGGCGGCACTGGCTGCTTACCACGTCCCTTTCAGTGGAGTTTCTCTTGGGAGACACCCGCTTATAACTCGTTTCCTTCGTGGCACTTTGAGGCTGAGGCCAGCAGTTCGTGCCTGGAATTTTCGCCTGGTATGGTTAAGGCTTTTCTATACCCTAGGCCAGGTTATGTTCCTAAGGTCCCTACTAATGTTGTTAGACCTACAGTTCTGCAGGCTTTCTGTCCTCCTCCATTTCTGTCGTCAGACCAGGAGAAACTTAATTTGCTCTGCCCAGTGAGGGCGTTAGACGCTTATGTCCACAGAGCTGCCCTGTGGAGGAAATCAGAACATTTATTTGTATGTTTCGGGCCACCCAGGAAAGGGTGTCCTGCGTCTAATTAGAGAATGAGCAAGTGGGTGGTCGAGGCTATCTCACTTGCTTATGAGTCGGCTGGTCAGCCTTCACCTTTGGCTGTACGAGCCCGCTCTACTAGGAGTATGGCTGCATCCAAAGCTTTATTGTCAGGAGTTTCCCTGAGTGAGGTTTGTGATGCGACTGGATGGTCTTCACTGTGCAGGTGCTCTCGTCCGCTGTGCGCTAGATCTCACATGACGGTCACTTGCTCCTATGGCGACGTGGGTATTCGCGTTCCCACAGCGTTTGACGCAGCTCGAAGTTCCCTTGAAAGGGAACGTCTCGGTTACGTATGTAACCCTAGTTCCCTGATAGGGAACGAGACGCTGCGTCGTTCTGCCATACTCCCGGCATTCCCGTTAAGCGCTCCTTCAGGCCTATCAGAAGCTGATGCGCTTGTGTTTTTGGGGTGCTTTATAGTTTCCTGGTCGATGACGTCACCCGCCTATGACGTTCCGTCTCTCCATTGGGCTGATTCCATACGTGCTTCATGACGCACAACGCAGGGGCGTTCCCACAGCGTTTGACGCAGCGTCTCGTTCCCTATCAGGGAACTAGGGTTACATACGTAACCGAGACGTTTTTGACCACTGAAAATGTGTACAATTTAACAATTTACTCATGAAGCCGCATTGAGATCCCTATATCTCTGGGGTTTAACCATATAGAGGCTTAAAATTAAGAGACCAAAAGAACATTTTAAGAACTAGAAACTAAAAATATAGTGAAATATGTGTATTACTTTTCGAGTAACAGGCATGTTAAGTAAAAAAAAACAAAAAAAAATGTGCTTCTCCCCAACGATCTGTCGCCATTGGCATATAACGCAACAAGTATTGCTAAAGTCAACATCATTTACTAACAGACCTTCCTATCTGTGTGTAGAAATAATATAATGATGCTGCCATCTTTCTGAAGTTATTTTTACGCTCCTGTAATTTGACTCCAAATCTCAGGTGACGATTATCTTTTTGAACCCCCTCTACAAAATAGGGGATTACTCAATAAATATTCATCCATGGCATTTAATATTTTGGCTTTCATCACTGTTAATGTCTTTAAATGTTTGAGTCGAGAACCTCTGCTTGATTTGACATGGAATGATCCGCTAACATTGTCATATCAATTAACATGATAAAACTATCTCGAGACTGAGAAATAACAGAGTAGAGTATATGCGGTGATTCTTCAATTAGGGGAACGTTTCTGTCTTCTAGGGGGATTTTGAAAAATAAAATAAAAGATTGATTCTAGATTATAAGGACATATTAGGGGCATCTTTGATTTTTTTTTATAGTGCATCTCTAATTACTTGAGTTCAAAGGTTAAATTTGGATTTTGTGCTTGCCCATTATTCAGACTTTTTAATTTCCCCAGTGTTACAATCGGGGGGATTTTATTTTCATCACTTTGTTAAATCGCAAATGATTTGGTATTTGTAAATAGTTGTGACGTACCACACACTCAAAGCAACCGAACGTAACTATTTACAAATACCAAATCAGTTGCAAAACACTATGTTACGTTCGGTTGCTTTGAGTGTGTGGTACTTAACATAGTGTTTGTGGACAAATTAATGTTTTTTTTTTTACAGTTAATAATGTAATAAGTAATAAATAATGAGTTTGACATTTAATATTTTTCAGAACTTGACATTTCCCACAGTGTGACATGCTAAACTCCATCTAACACGATTTGAAACAGTATTGAGCTCATTCTTTAATGATTATCATTCATGCCACTTTTATGAACACATATTAATTAAGAGACAACAGTATATGGAATATATGTACTACAATTAATATTTCACACTATAGAACCATTAAAAATGAATTATTGAACACATAAAGGTAAAGTTAATCTACAATATACACATCCATATGCATGTTATCCTTAAATCTCGATTAAAATAAATCCATGGACATGTGTCAATGTATAAATGTATAAATGTATTAACATAGATGAAATTCAAGATTTCTAATTGAAGGTTCAGCCATATATAATCTGAAATCTATTAATGAAGTGGAGCGTTATCAAGAGCGCTTTAAAGCATGACCAGACAGCATCGCTGTGCGATGAAGCGAGACTGATCTGTGTCATTAATTCACAGTTTGATTATGAGAGTTGGTCAAGCTGATCAGCACTGGATTCTCCGGAGATGTTATCAGACTAGTGCTGTGCTGGTTCTGCAGTGTTGGAGGGGTTCTGGGTGTTATTTCGGATCTCCTGATCGAGTGGGAGGCGGATAATGCATGTGTTGACAGTGATGGAGGGATCCTGTGGGTGAGAGCGTTTGGCAAGCGGGAAAAAGGGCTCCATCTTCTTGACTAGTACAGTGGTGGTTAGCAGTAGCTTATTTTTTTAATATGTGTGGGAGATGATATGATGCATTGCAAAGATGAAAAATGAAAGCAAAATTATCTCTGAACGAAAAAACACTTGTTGATATATAAAAAACAACAGAAGGGCCCAATACCGAACCCTGGGGAACACCTACAATATAGTGTTGCCTATTGTTGCACAACATACTGCTATTCTTGTCATTTTGGTTTTGACTTAGTTAGGGCTGTAAACTCAGAAAAATTGGAGAGAGATTCTGTTGTGAAATGCTTGACATGTGCCATCTTAGAGGATCAACTTTGGAAATCTTTGGAGACAGCCATATTGATCCAGACTTGTTGTTTGGAGAAACTGAAGGAATTGTTGGAAGGAACACAAAGGCACTAAGAAGAGCTTTTGGAGATTAGATTTTGAAATATGCTCCATTGCTGAGTGGCTGCCTGTGTTCAGAAACAGTTTTGTCCCTGTTGTGCTCTTGACCGTTGGATTTAACAAGTTAAGCTGGAGACTTGATATAAGTTACTTTGAATATCATGGTTTTTTTAAACATAGTGCACCATAATGAGTGCTGAACTTTTAAAGGAGTAGTTCACTCCAGAATAAAAATACGTCACGGCCTGATAATTTACTCTCCCCCACGCCATCCAAGATGTTCATGTCTTTCTTTCTTCAGTCGAAAAGAAATGAAGGTTTTTGAGGGAAACATTCCAGGATGTTTTTCCATATAATGACTTCAATGGGGTCCAACGGGCTGAAGGTCCAGATGTGAGTTTCAGTGCAGCTTCAAACTCTCGACACGATCCCAGCCCGAGGAATAAGAGTCTTATCTAGACAAACCAGCGGACATTTATAACAAAATAAACATTTATATACTTTTTAACCACAAATGCTCGTACATTACGTGATCACGTTGAAAGGTCAAGCGTGACGTAGGCGGAAGTGCAGACCTAGTGTTTACAAAGCCAACGTGCAAAGACTAAGTCAAAAGCCTAACCCTATAAAAAAAAAGAAAAAAAAAAGGTAAACCAACGATGTCGGACGATTTTGAAGTTGGAGGAGAAAATGAGATGGAATTTTTCACCCTTCCCTACATTTTATGAACACGCGTGACCTTTTTTTGTGTGGTTGCTTTTGTTAGGTGTGGTTTGGTGAGGCATGTTTTTTTTTATTTTTGTTCTTAAGAATTCTACTACATGTACACCATTACTGTGTTCAGGCGACCTGCTCCCGGCGGACGGGGTCTTGATACAAGGCAACGATCTGAAGATCGATGAGAGTTCTCTGACGGGAGAATCCGACCACGTGCGCAAAGCTGCAGATAAAGACCCCATGCTTCTCTCCGGTGAATCCCTCTTTACTACTATATTTTACTTTCACAGCGTTCACTTTGTTGTGCTCTTTCACCCGTAATAAATATTGAAGTTCGACATCCAAGTCATCAGAAAAAGTCAAATCGATCGACACAGGCAAAAAATATAAGTGGCTCTTCCCACAAATAGGCTTAAATTTTTTTACTTTTTGTAACAATTAGTCATTGAAAGGAGATGCTTAACCTTTAGAAAGTGTTAAATGTTATATAACTTTCTTATTTTCCAATCATTCTGTAGAAAGGACCCACAAATGCCACTACTTTGATGTCATTATTTTGAGGAATGTGGTTGCAATGTTGTGTGCAAAATGTGTGCCAGTTAAAAATTATTAATTAACAAAATAGTGAGTTGAATATCAATCCAACAGATTATGTCAGAATGAAAACATTGCAAGATTTTGTTTGTTTGATGCAGGAAAAGATGGGACAGATGGAAATCTGTTATTTGATGTGTTTAAATTAGAAACCATAGCTTCATGTTAAGGTTTAATTTGTTAAAATGAGTTAACTAAATTAGTTTACATGAACTAACAATAACCGACCAATAACCGAACAATCCGACCTTGTAGTAAAATAATGATTAATAATTAAATAATAATAATAATTACAAAAAATGTAATAATTTAAACATATTTATTAGTTACTCTATTCAGTGCCAACTACATCATTTATTGTCATGCACTCTTTTAATGTACTTTGATTCTACAATTTTAAATTATAAAGGACAATAATGACAAGCAAGTACTGTGTTTGAGACTGATGGTACATTTGACAGCATAAACTCTATTAATTAGCTTTGATGAATGAGTCAGTTATCACCTCTACAGTCAGGTGTGTGTGTGTGTGTGTGTGCTATCAGACAGCAGTCATCTATGAGATCACACATTGTGTCAGTTGTGCTGAGGTGAGAGCGTCAGGCCTGCTATTACTTACAGTTGCTCCATGACTTACCGCGCCGTTAACTGAATCCCCAGGCACACACGTGATGGAGGGCTCGGGTCGGATGGTGGTCATGGCTGTCGGGGTGAACTCTCAGACCGGGATCATCTTCACTTTACTCGGTGCTGGGGGAGAGGAGGAGGAGAAAAAAGAGAAGAAAGGTGCGTAACTAAAGCTCAGCCTGACAGAACTTCAGCAGAGCTGCATTACACCAACACTTCTGTACGGGGATCAACATTCATTCCTGCCAGTTAATGTTGTTATTATTGCATAAACCCTTTTCTTATATCAGCAGATCTTTGAAAACCTCAAAAAAAAAACAGGACACTGCGGGAAAAGAACATTATAAAGCACACTAAAATTGAAAACTTTGTTTATAATTGACAAAACTCTCCCTGTTTGGAATATTTACGATTTTTTCCAAACTTCTGCCCAGTCGTGTATTTACTATTGCTCGTATTTCATGGTTTGAACAAACCTTTAACCCAAAGTATTAAAGGGGTCATGAACTGCCTTATCTTTTTTATTTTATAATGTTTCCTGGCTTTCACATCAAAAATGGTCATGAATTAGACATAAAAGACATTTTTCCTACCCTGATATAAGCCTCTGATTTGAACGCTCTGTTTGAAGGGGCGTGTCTGCTGTGAGACTTCAGTGTAAACGCCCACTGCTGTGATTGGCTGTAAGACTTCAGTGTAAACGCCCACTGCTGTGATTGGCTGTGAGACTTCAGTGTAAACGCCCACTGCTGTGATTGGTTGTGAGACTTCAGTGTAAACGCCCACTGCTGTGATTGGCTGTGAGACGTCAGTGTATACGCCCACTGCTGTGATTGGCTGTGAGACTTCAATGTAAACGCCCACTTAGGGCTGGGCGATATATCGATATAAAAAAATATATCGATATATTTTTGAATGCGATATGGAATTAGACCATATCGCATATATCGATATAGTTCAAATATGCGCTGTGATCCTTGCTCCAAGCAAGCTGCTGACCGGTGTTGCGCCGAATTTCGAACCCCTGCCAAATTATTACCCCCCTCGTTGAAGTCAGTACCTGATTTCCTAATCCCAACCCCGCCCCTAATCCTAACCCCTCCCCCACAACTAATCCTAAACCTACCAATGCTAGGGGGGTAATAATTTGGCGGGGGTCGAAATTCGGTACAACACTGGAGCTCTCTGCACTGCTCCCCGCGCGTGAAGCTGCGCGCTGCAGAAGCCCCATCCGCAAGCCATCGACAACCCGAAACGGTGTTTCCGCTACATTCATTCTGCCGTGGTGGGCCGCCACACCAAACATCATCCCGCAGCGGCTGCAGCTTCTCAGTGAAGTCCGATATTATGCACACTATTGTGTTATTGTTAAGCCCCACTAAAGGCATAAAAAATCATTGTAAAGCACCATAATGTTTTCGTGCACTATATTCCAAGACTTCTAAAGTCATTCGATAGCATAATGTGAGGTAAAAAATAATATTTAAGTTCTCCATTCAGCATTCAAGCAGCGCGTCGCGTTCGGTAACGACAGTAACACGACGATACTCTCTTCAAGATCAATGTTTCCACTATTATACTTTATTTGTAGATAAATGTCTAGTTTGCATAAAATGACTTTATCTTGCTGGAGTTTATAGCGCTTTCTAAATCATATTCCTTTCCTTTGTGCAAATGTGAAGCGCTGCGCGCTGTGACTTCGCGTTGCTTCAAGTGCATCATTTTGCGCACGGGATGCGCATAATCGATTTGCCGCTCTAAATTGGAGTCTTTCATATTATAATACTTAGGAAAGGTTTAAACACCTGGGGCAAGGGGGCGTGGTCAATGGGAATATCACTGCCACCACAACTGGAAAAAATCCAAGAGGAAACACTGCGAAAAAGCTCCAGCCCCGAAACAAAGCTCACTGCAAACTTCTTTTTTCCGCAGCCACCTTGTGGAGCTTTGATCAAAAAAAAAAAAAAAAAAGTACTCCTGTTGTTATACAGTATTTATGTTTACATTTTATTGTTATTTGAACTGCTGAGCATTTAATTATGAACCAGGTGAAGAAACATGTTTATGTATTCATTTGATTTTGCACCTGTTCACTGAAATAGCCAGTTTCAATAAAACTAGGCTACTTGTGACGTCATATTTGGCTTTGACTGAACATTTGCTCTCACTTTGCAAAAAATATCGGGATATATATCGTATATCGATATTCAGCCTAAATATATCGGGATATGACTTTTGGTCCATACCGCCCAGCCCTACGCCCACTGCTGTGATTGGCTGTAAAACTTCAGTGAAACGCCCACTGCTGTGATTGGTTGTGAGACTTCAGTGAAACGCCCACTGCTGTGATTGGCTGTGAGACGTCAGTCTAAATGCCCACTGCTGTGATTGGCTGTGAGACTTCAATGTAAATGCCCACTGCTGTGATTGGCTGTAAAACTTCAGTGAAACGCCCACTGCTGTGATTGGCTGTGAGACTTCAGTGAAACGCCCACTGCTGTGATTGGCTGTGAGACGTCAGTCTAAACGCCCACTGCTGTGATTGGCTGTGAGACTTCAATGTAAACGCCCACTGCTGTGATTGGCTGTAAAACTTCAGTGAAACGCCCACTGCTGTGATTGGCTGTGAGACTTCAGTGGAAACGCCCACTGCTGTGATTGGCTAAGATCTCTAACATCTCTAAGTATCACATGTGGAACTCTCTTGATAACTTTTAGCACATTTTTACTATTACAGCTCTCAAGGTTAACTAATCGTGAACGTGTTGATTATAGCATTATATTCAGAGCTATAGCATTATATTTAGATTGTGGCACGAAAGGTTGCAGTTATGAGCATGTAGCCGTTCACAGACATGTTAAGTGTATGAATGCAGTGATCTCATCTTTGCAACTCCTTAATAAATGTTTTCATTATAACTAACAGTGCAAACAAAATGTAAAAAAGAGATTTATTGATTATAACCAGACTTTGCTATAACAGGAGTTTTGGCGAGAGTCCAGAACTCAGTCACTGATAAACTCGTGGTGTTTGACTGACAGCTCAACAGTGATTGCAAAGGGAGCGTTCTCTGATCCCTTTCTGTATAATTTAATCAGAGTTTAAATCACACTTTCATTCTGCTAAGAGAAAACAAAATGTGAAGATGACCATTAAGTCACTCACTGGTTTGATTTACTGGCACATAGACACAAATCATCTAAAGAATCATTATATATTAAGAAATCACTGGTCACAGATCAGGCATTAGAATGAACACGGTTACTGCGAATGTCTCAGTTGAGCATTATTTGTTTGTTCACCGTCGATTCTTCGGCAAATCAGTCACAATTTCATGGACTCCATGATGCTAATGCTACATGCATTATTGTCGAGTCCATGTCATAAAAGTCTATTCGCAAAGCCTGCGCCGAAATTGTGACTGATTTGCCAAATAATCGACAGTGAACAAACAAATAATGCTCAACTGAGACATTCACATTGTTGAAAATAAATAAAATAACCACATTCCCAACATTAGGATCCTATGGATGGTACCGTATTTTCCGCACTATAAGGCGCACCGGATTATAAGGCGCACCTTCAATGAATGACCTATTTTAGAACATTTTTCATATATAGGGCGCACCGGAATATAAGGCGCATAAGATACTGCAGTCAAACGCTTGACTGGGTTTGCGTTATGCATCCACTAGATGTGCTAAAGGGAATGTAGCGAGTGCGCGGCGCCAGAGGCGAGGCGTTTATTAGTAAGCGTGAGCGCGCTGGGGCGGGCACGTAACTTATGGTGTGTTCACACCGAACGCGAATTTAATTATTTGCGCGAGTGGATTACATACAAAGTCAATGCAAAGACGCGAATAGACGCATCATTCGCGCCCGGCGTTGCGAATGACGCGAATTGGGGCGACGCGTTTGCTGCGAATGTCTTCCGCGCAAGTTTTAACTCGAGCGAATGTTCAAGCGTCTAATTAGACGCGATAGACGCGTATTTGACGCTCTATTCGCGTTCGGTGTGAACACACCATTACATTCGCAGCCTGACTCATGAGTATTCATGTGCGGCGGCTCGCTGACAGCAACAGCTGGCTGTTTTGAATGAGACGACCCGGTTACTGTGAACGGGGAGCGCTTTATGAACATTCTGTGACGCGGGAGCAGCGCCGAGGACAGTGTGTCTGTTCGTGTGTCTGTTAGTAAGAGTGAGAGCTCGTGACTTACACACATAACCTGATTTATACGAGGTTGAAGTGGCCGTGTGACAGAGCGGGCATAAGATGGACACGAGCGCGAGTTCGCGGGCGAATTTAATAACGCGGAGCGTTATTAACCAATTGATCCATATATAAGGCGCTCCGGATTATGAGGCACACTGTTGTTTTTTGAGAAAATTAAAGGCTTTTAAGTGCGCCTTATAGTGCGGAAAATACGGTAATATTATTTTTAGTCCAGTCAGTGATCCTGTATCGCTCGTCATCTCACTAACTCGCCAGTGGGCGGGGCCAAAGTTGCGTTGATCTGCAGAGGCGGTCTTTACGCAACGAGTCGTTCTCTGGGCTCGGTTTCAATAAAAGCTGTTTTTGGACTAACAAGGAAGTTTGTAGATCTGAAACTTACAGAATATTCTTATAGTATGATGACCTCTTAAATGTCAATTATTTCTCAGTTCATGACCCCTTTAAAGTGCGATGCGTGACTCATTCCACAGGTTTGATATATCTCGAATCACGTGTGCTGTTACCATTGGACTCCAGCAGCACCCTGTCAATCACCCACATGCTGATCAGCAGATAAAGTCTTAATCAAAACGTGCAGCTCTTTTCCCCTCAATATGGGTAAAACGTGCCCCTGTTGTTTTTTCGTGTGCACACAGTGGCTACTTCCAAGTGCTTTTTCTGGTTGGGTAGCATGTGCTGTTTCTCAGCATAAGGCTTATGTGTTTGTTATTCTGCAAACTGCCACAGGTCAGGCTCTGGAGGACGGCCATCAGCTGGCAGGTACAGTATACATCTCTGTACCCGAGGATACATTCATTTATTACCCCACTAAACCTGCTCTTCCCTCCCGAACCCTGCTTTAGCAACCGTGATCTTTCACTTAAAAAGAAGCTCTTTTTAAGTATTCAAAGAAATGCATTTCATCCATGATCCCGCTTAGATGACGATCGGGAGGTTGTGATGGACGGGTGATTCCCTCAAGGCCGGATAGATTGACGATATCAGATTGATCACGGTTTCGTAGCCTCGTAATCTGACACCCTACTGTTGTATTTGAAGCACTTGGGTTTGATTTTTTTTAGCATGCTTTTAATTTGGTTGTTTTATTTATTTTTTTGAATCACCTGTTCTTCCCGTGATTGGTTGTGTAAATAGCAGTTGGAACTCTAGAGTTTTGTGCCATTGATCATTGTGTAGTTTTGTGCCTCGACTTTTTGTCTGCCATATTATGTGTAACCTGTCTTATGTTGCAGTGTGTTTTCCCATCGATGTCATTCTTTCAAAGTCACCTTTCTGTTAAAAGCAGTGTATTGAGAGAGTACTAATGGTGATAACCATGCTACTTTTGTTCATTATTACGGCTAGACTGCTCGCATCCCTCCTCACACCCCATCGCGACTATAGCTACCGATGGTGCGGCAAGCGCAAATGCCCCTGGTAATACCAGCCTAGTCAATGGTAGGTTGAGCAGGCCTTCGCTGTCCGTCACTCACTGGCTCCGCCTCTCCTTCTCCAGTTGTCTATTGCCTTGTCCGAATACCCACACTTGCGGTCTTGGCCACTTGAGAGCGCGCGCCCTTAATGCACACTAAACCCACACTATCTAAACGCATTTGAGGCTACGCGTATCCCATCATGCATTATGTTCAGGAACTCATGTGCCCCGAATTCGCGACATGTTGAGGAAAACATTTTTTATTTTTTATTTAAACGAACTAGTACGTATAATTTGGTAGTAAAATCATAAAGTGTTGCACATTTTATTGGTGCAAAGATGAGTATGGAATGTGTAGGCCTATTTTGTACAACATTTGCAACTGTTTTTATCACTTAATTAGAAGCACCATAATAAATGTGTGTCTTCTGTTAGATATATAGCGACTACTGAACAGACATATAGAAGTTTATTTTAAAATGCAAAGTATCGAAAATGTAATAAATAAAAGCTCTGTAAGCACTTGCATTTTTTGCAAGACTATAAGTGTGTCCCATCGAGTAATCAAAAGTTCTAAACACACTTGCCTATGTGAACAGAGGAAATACGTCATGCAAGTAGACGAGTGTTCAAGAGCAAAGACCGCGAGTGTGGGTATTTGGACAAGACGTTGATCTCCCTCTCCTGTCCTCTCAGTGCATGAACCCTCTGATCGATAACTCCTTTATTGTTCTCTTCCCTCTTCTACCCTTTTCGTTCCTTTATTCCTACGTATGCCAACAGCAGATTCACAATGTGGATCGTCCCATTGGTTGAAATAGGCCACATGACTATAACCGGAACTTAAGCATAAGCTAAATAAGTATTGCATTGCAACTGATTTAGTTTTAGTGGGTAGATTTACATTTCGGAAAGAAAATCATGACGTGTTGTGTAGTGTCTTTGGTGTGTTGGAATACAATTTATGATAGGAGCGTATTTGATGCGAAATATAATTTAAATTTGTGATTCCTTAACAATATCCCATTAGTATTTAACTGTTAAACTGTAGGACGCATATAGTACTGTTGATTGTTTCTTTTTTCAAAATAAATGTATAGTTTTATTGAGCCAGGATGCATTAAATTAATCAAAAGTGACAGTAAAGACATTTATAATGTTAGAAAATGATTCTATTTCAAATAAATGCTGTTCTTTTGAACTTGCTATTCTTTAAAGAATCCTGAAAAATAACGTATGACGGAAAAATCTGCAGCAGCACAACTGTTTTCAACACTGATAATAATCATAAATGTTTCTTGAGCGTCAGATCATCATATTAGAGTGATTTCTGAAGGATCATGTGACACTGAAGACTGGAGTAATGATGTTGAGAATTCAGCTTTGCCATCATTGGAATAAATTACACTTTACTATATATTCACATAGAAAACAACAATTTTAAATTGAAATAATATTTCAATATTTTGCTGTATTTTTGATCAAAAATGCAGCCTTGGTGAGCAGAAGAGACTTATTTAAAAAATATGAAAGAATTTTCCCGCCCCCAAATGTTCGAACCGTAGTGTACTACAGTATTTTTACAGTAACAGATACATACAATATCCATGTGTGTAAATATTCCAACACACACACACACATATCAATTAGTAAAAGGTTATATTTCGAACTTGTTGAGTTAAGTTAAATTCCGCAATACAATAAATACAAATTACTTTTCTTCAAAGCAATCGATAGGAAATGTATTTGCTTTTGCTATGTTAATTATTATTATTTTTTTTATCATAAAAAAAATAATAATAATAATTTTATGCTTTTGGTATGTTAATTTTTTAAATAATAAATATTTTTTTATTAAAAATTTTTTTATTATTGTTTTTTATTTTCTTTTATTATTTCAGTTTTAGTTTTTATGAAACCAGCTCTGAATAGATTGATTGATTATTTCCTGAACATTTCGCCTGTGTTTCAGACAAACGTTCCCACACTAAAGTACCCATGTACTGTAGTTGCACATGTATTTATGTGATGGGATAAATCCGTTTTGAATGTTTTGGCTATTCCCGTTCCCCCGGTGTGTTGCATGGCTGTTCTGTAGCAGTTCTTCTTCCCGCATGTCCAGTAGAGTCGTGCTGTTTCTCTAGTCCTTCATTGTGTTGAGTATTTCTCTTCCATTTATCCTCCATGGAATATCTTCTGAACGACTACTTCCCAATTCCTCCTTTTTATGACAAATCATAGTGACAAACCAAGATAATACGATGTATACATATTAGATATTCCATGGCACTAGTCAAAATGACATGAAAACACACAACAGAACATCCATTTTTGTTATAACAAACACACATACTGCATATACTTCATATATCAACGCAGTGCATCTAAACACATGCTAGTCATTTATTATTCAACATCTATATGTGGATGGTAGCTTATGCTGCATCTGATATAAAGCCATAATACACTTCAAAACTTCATTATAAAACGATTCTGTGTTATGTATGTGACTCACAATGATGTTGATAATTACTCATTCTCTGTCTTCCTTTTTTAATTTGATTTCACTGTAATGTCCATGTGATGAATGTTTTATCATCTGCTTTCTGTTATTTTTGTCCTGTGTGTGTGTGTGTGTGTGTGTGTGTGGATGCCTTCATCTTAGGTAAAATGCAGGATGGAAATATGGAGAACAACCAGACCAAAGGTAACCTGCTTTCACTTTACCGCTGGTTTGAGCGCTCACCATGATTTTATTCCTCCGTTCGCACCGGTTCAGATGTCAGCTCGTCTGTTTGTTCTGCTTCTCATGTGTGTGTCAGGGTTCCTGTCCTCGTCCAACTCTCCAATCACTCTAATGATCAAGTGTGTATTTCACCTGTAGTGTAACGGGGTTACTCTGGGGTTACTTACGCTTTTGCAGACGAAAATATCCCGAGGTTTCGATTCATTTCAAGTAATAGTGAAAGTTGTATTCAAATTTTGACAATAGAAATGTATTTCATCTATGTATTTGGCTAGCAGCTGCTTCATATTTTGCAAATGACTTTACTTGTATTAATAAACACTTTGCGTTTAAGTTTTGTTCACAGGATAGAGTCTGGCTTAGGCATTGTGTGTTCAGTATTGAACGCCCATCAAGTTTCTGATCATGTGCAGGTCTTAAAGTTGAATATATGCAAAATGTTTAATGTTTTTCAATTCTACAATGCACATATCAGTGCATTAGAAACAGTATGCATAAAATGTATGTAGTACGAGTAACTGACTATGAACTCGGGGCACTGTGTCGATGGATTTAGACATCTTTTGTTTTGTTTAACAAAGATATAGTTGGCGGTGGAGGCATTACTGGTTTATATTGCTGTAAAATGTGGGAAACACTGCACAAGATGCATTAAGTGTAAAACTGCGTCTTTTGCCTTAAAGGAACATTTCACCCAAAAGTAAAAATAAGCAAAGAATCATTCCATGTCATCATTTACTCACTCTTGTGTCATTTCAAAACTGAATGACTTTCTTTCTTCTGCTGAACGCAAAAGATGATATTTTGAATAATGTGCCGGTTGCTCATTTCCATTCAGTTATAATGAATGAGGCGTTCAAGCCTCAAAAAGCAAACACCAATTCTATAAAAGTATCCCAAAGGTAGTGCATAAAAAATTACATAATTTTATTTATTTGTTTATTTATATTATTTTTATTATTATTTATTTTAGTTTAGGTTTAGTTTTTATGAAACCAGTTCTGAATAAGAACCTGTTCTTGTCTCCAAACCCTAGATTGATAGATGATTTCCTGAACTGTGTTTCAGACAAAAGACAAAAACAACCAGATTTTTAAATGTAAAAAAAAAAAAAAAAAAAAAGTTTAATTGCGATCATTAAAGAGAACATTCCATCCCATCATCGTTTCAAGTTCAAACATTATGGGAATGTTACTTTTGAATGTTTCTCGGAATGTTCTGAAGTCGGAACATTTAAAAAACTTTAGGCAAGGCAAGTTTTGAGAACATTATTAAAAACCAGATGACATTGAACGAACGCTTTGTGAATGTTACTGACAGAATGTTTGTCTCACAGAAGAAAGAAAGTCATACAGGTTTGAAGCAATAAGGTTCATAAGGTTGAGTAAGGTTGAGCAATAAGGTCATAAGGTTGAGTAATTTTTTTAGTCTTTAATTTTTGGGTGAACTGTCCCTTTAAGAGGTTTGTCCCACATAACTTGATACTTCTGTCATCAGATCCCATGAAAAGGTTGTTCAGTCGTCTCTCAACCATGTAATGTCACCAGGATTGGGGTTTAATCCAGTTCCTGGATAAATGTAAAATGCATTCACCGCCTCATGATTCCATTGATCAATGTAGATATTCAAAATAACATATTCATTTGGTGGTTTGCTGAATTTGGTTGCGAACCAAAGTAATTGTACTTCAAATAAAAGAAGATTACTGGTCCTCTTGAAATGTTGACTCCTATTGGAATTTTAAAGGTGCATTGTGTGATATTTAGGAGGATCTGTAGACAGAAATGCAAGATCATATACATAACTATGTTTTCAGTGGTGTATAAACACCTTATATAATGAACCGTTATGTTTTTATTAGCTTAGAATGAGCCGTTTCTTTCTACACACACCGCGGGTCCTCTTACATGGACATGTTTCTACGGTGGCCCTGAACAGACAAACGCGTTTCGTCACTATGTTGTTCTTCATGATAAGAAGCTGCTAAAGTCAGCGAATAAAACACTGACACAATGATGAACGAGTAACAATAATATTCGCAATAACATCGTTTTACTGAATAATAAAGTAAACTTAATTTCTTAATTAATCTTTGTAAAGAAACCTCATTGCTGAACTGGCTACTCTCTGCTGTCTCAGACGACGACATCACTTCCTGTCGGCCACCTTAACTTCTGTTGGGTGCAATTCGCAACCTCACCACTAGGTGCCACTGAAATCACACACTGCACCTTTAAGTGCACTTGGTGGCTGGTAGCACATTACGGTCATTCATATACGTATGTGACCCTGAACCACAATTGAGATTCATACATCACATGAAAGCTGAATAAAAAGCTTTCCATTGATGTATGGTTTGTTAGGAAATTACAATATTTGGCCGAGATATGACTATTTGAAAATCTGAGGGTGCTATACACACTATATGCATTCATTATATTTACGGTAGGACATTTACAAAATATCTTCATTGAACATGATCTTTGCTTAATATCCTGATGATTTTTGGCATAAAGAAAAATCGATAATTTTGACCCATACAATGTATTGTTGGCTATTGCCACAGATATACCCGTGCGACTCGTGACTGGTTTTGTGGTCCAGAGTCACATATTTTGTTAACGAGTTACTATTTATATACAAACAAACATACACAACCCAACAGTAGACTTCAAACTGTGGTTTATTCTTATATGGTGATTCCCTCACAACGAGGTCCAGCATTAGCAGTGAGCAAAGGCCCATTACCAACTCGAGTTTTCTGTGGTCTTTACAGTGAAAAAGCAAGATGGCGCTGCTGCGATGGAGATGCAGCCCTTGAAGAGCGCAGAGGGAGGAGAAACCGATGAAAAGGAGAAGAAGAAGGCCAACGTCTCCAAGAAAGAGAAATCCGTTCTGCAAGGAAAACTGACAAAGCTGGCTGTGCAAATCGGCAAAGCAGGTGCTGCGTGTTTTTCGGGTGTTTGGAGGATTAGGACTCTACAGGTTTGGTGTTTTATCATCGCAGTGGAGCACTAATGCCGTGTTTAATGTGGTCTGGTCCTCAGGTTTGGTAATGTCTGCCATTACAGTCATCATCCTGGTGCTTTACTTCGCAATCGATAACTTTGTGCTTCAGAAGAGGCCGTGGCTGCCGGAGTGCACTCCAGTCTACATTCAGTATTTTGTCAAATTCTTCATCATTGGTGTAACAGTCCTGGTGGTCGCGGTTCCCGAAGGCCTTCCGCTTGCTGTTACCATCTCTCTGGCCTACTCTGTGAAGGTACATGACGAATACACCCTGTTTAGATCTAGCTCAAAGGAGTAGTTCACTTCAGAATTAACCTGATAATTTACTCTCCTCCACGTCATTCAAGATGTTCATGTCTTTCTTTCTTAGGTGGAAAAGAAATTAAGGTTTTTGAGGAAAATAATCCAGGATGTTTCTCCATATAGTGACTTCAATGGGGTCCAACGGGCCAAAGGTCCAGATGTGAGTTTCAGTGCAGCTTCAAAGTCTCGACACGATCCCAGTCGAGGAATAAGAGTCTTATCTAGACAAACCAGCGGACATTTTATAACAAAAAATTAAAAAAACATATACTTTTAACCACAAATGCTAGTCTTGCACTGGCACTGATGCGCCACACATTACGTAATCACGTTGGAAAGGTAGCGCTGTAACCTGATGTAGGCGGAACATGTAGAGTAGTTTTTCTTTTGTAAATGCCGTTTGACTTAGTCTTTGCACGTTGGCTTTGTAAACACTAGGTCTGCACTTCCGCCTACGTCACGCTTGACCTTTCAACGTGATCACGTAATGTACGAGCATTTGTGGTTAAGAAGTATATAATTGTTTATTTTGTTATAAATGTCCGCTGGTTTGTCTAGATAAGACTCTTATTCCTCGGCTGGGATCGTGTCGAGACTTTGAAGCTGCACTGAAACTCACATCTGGACCTTCGGCCCGTTGGACCCCATTGAAGTCATTATATGGAGAAACATCCTGGAGTGTTTTCCTCAAAAACCTTCATTTCTTTTCCACTGAAGAAAGAAAGACATGAACTTCTTGGATGGCGTGGGGGAGAGTAAATTATCAAGAAATGTTAATTCTAAAGTGAACTAATCCTTTAATACTTTGACATTAAATTAACCTAATGAGCTGATTACCCAGAGAGCGACTTTGGGCATCATAGGAACACTTGTAATGCCAACACTGATTCAGAGTATATCCTGTTCACATTCTTTCATCCATCTGCACTGTTTTTTTTTTTTCATTATATATGTCAAGTATTTGTATTTGGTTGTTTTTATGGATTCACCTATTAATCAGCCAATAATCAGCATTAATCAGAAAACCCCAAATTCAGAATTAGAATATTGTGAAAAGGTTTTGGTTTTCTGAAATTTCATTTATCTGAAATAAATGAACTTTTGCACGATATTCTCATTTTCGAGTTTCACTTGTAGGTATAGTGGACAGTGCATCACAGTGTTTAGGCATATCCAGAATGCACTCTACCACAACATGTTATATTAGCTGGTTATCTATAAATATGACTAATACTTTTTTTGTCTGCGCTGATAGAAAATGATGAAGGATAACAATTTGGTCCGCCATCTGGACGCTTGCGAGACCATGGGCAATGCCACGGCGATCTGCTCAGACAAGACTGGGACGCTGACCACCAACCGCATGACAGCAGTGCAATGCTTTGTGGGGGATTTCCATTACAAGACGATACCAGAGCCCAGCTCCATCCCAGCCAAAACCCTGGAGACACTGGTCAATGCTATATCCCTCAACAGCGCCTACACTACTAAAATACTGGTAAGAAATAAAATAACACCAGTGTTATTTCAGCTACAACTGCTTTGCAAACAATAGACTTTAATGTTAATAATGTATAAACACAAGATATTACTCATATACACTGCCAGCCCTGGCATTGAAGAAGTTGCACACTGGTGATTTTAGCCATTCGTCATGTCATTGTTTATGTCCTTATGCAACATCACAACATTTATTTCCATCAAGAGTTGCATTCATTTTTGAACTCTTAAGACTCTATAGACTCTCCAAATGGCGGCTTTCTTTTTGGCCAGGCAGTGTAATACATTACACCACAAGCTAGCACAACGTCAGCAGAAATATGAAACATCACCCTCACGTCAGTCAAACCCTCTAAAAGCCTGTTCACACCCAGAACGATAACTATTGTCACGCGTAAGCAGGAACAAATAGAAGTGTGAATCCAGTTGCAGCAATATTTATTGAAAATGAAAACAAAGATAATCCAATTAGAGTGTCAAAACCAGGAACATGAAACAGGAACGCAACAGCTTCACACAACATGCAAAGACAACAGCCGACAAACCAAGACTGAAACACTGGGGGATTTATACACAGGATATCAAGAGGTTAACAAACCGATTAATCTCTATGGTAATAAACAAGACAAATGCAAACAGAAACTAAACATGAAGGGAGAAGTAATGATATAAGGAGAACAGAAAATACATTTCAAAATAAGAGTCCACAACAAGGAACCATGATACAAGGATCATTACAACTATAAAGATAACCTTAATGATAACTATATTAGCATAAATGATATATAGTTCTGGTAATTATAAGCCGCCTGCCGCTTAAAATGCCTGAGCTCTTTAAAGCAGGACAGATTCTGATTGGCTGTCAATGTTTTTATCATTCATCAGCTGGAAAAAAATCGTTCTGAAAATGATTCCAGCGATAAAGTTTATCTGTGTAATTATAATTATATTTGTGGTGTGGACTCATCTATTCTTTTATATTTAGAAAGTTATTTAGAACTATATCCTAATTTTGATCGTTAAAGTTATGGTCCTCGGTGTGAACAGTTCTTCCATCTTTAACACTATGTTTATGTTTAGCAGAATATTAACCTCTTTTAAATCTCAGAATATTTTTCTGAAAAAAAAAAGTGTCATTCAAATGAGGGCCTTATTTTACTCTGTGTATTAAAGCAAAAATGCTGTTCAGCATTGCTTTGAAAAATTAATATCTACACTCTTAAAAATCAAGGTTCTTCATTGGCAAGTTTGGTTCATAAAGAACCTTTAACATCCAAGAACATCATTTAACATCCTTTTCATTCCACAAAAGGTTCTTTACAGTGGAAAAAAAATGTTCTTTAGATATTTAAAATGTTTCTCACACTAAGAATTTCTTTTATTTTAATGACAGATCACTGAAAGGTTCTTTGGGGAACCAAAAATAGTAATTATATGGCAAAAAAAAAAAAAAAAAAAAACTTTTGAAACCTTTATTTTTTAGTGTTTGTATTCGAAATGAGGATTATGCTCAGTGTTATAGAAGTTCAATGCTGAAGTATTGTTCATTCTTAGTTCATGTTAACTAAGTGTTACCGAAATCGCTGAAAGTCATATTAACACAGAGATGATATCCTAGTTTATTGGAGTTAGGACTGTGTTTGCCTTTTCATGTGTGTGTTTCCATATGTGTTCTCTGACAGTCAGGAGCGCTGCAGAATAGTCGCTGTGTATTTTGGAGCGCCAGGTTGGCTTGGTTTCTATAAAAGAACAGTCTGCAAGGAAACAGTTGAGACAATGAGTTATGAAAAAAAAAAAAGACAAAAGTCACAACTCTTGGTTTTGTGAGCTGGAATCAGATCTGTCTCTGATCTTGCTTTAAGAAGCCGATGAGCTGAAACGGGCCTAGCGAACGCCTCCTCTCAACAGACTAGCACACCGCACTGAACCCGTCCCGCGAGACCCGCACTGAGAGCTCTCATAACCATACACAGATAAGCATATCATTCCAGACATCTTGTTTTAACATAGACTGAAATGAGCAGAACTCTTCATCCCTGGAGAGATCCAGCAAGATACCATGCTTTACTGCTACATTATGTTATTAATGCATGAACTTTTCCTCACCCGAAACTCAAGAGCTGCTTCAGAAACTTTTCAAAGTCCTTCCCAACTCATCCTGATGGAAAATCGTTTATTAACCCTTGCTGTGCTGAAAACCATTTACCTAATTTGGTGTTTCAAATCAATAATGTCCAGCTTTTTAAATTGCTTGTAAATCTCTCGTTATGCTATATTATCATCACATATTGGATTCAATCTTCTTGTCAGCTTGTTTTCTCTCAGGTTTTGAATTAGTTTTTGGACCTGATTGATCGTAGGCCTCATTGATCGGAGCTCATGCTCCTCAGTTTTTGAGTGAATAAAGTCCACTCAAGCTTATTCACCTCAGGTGCATGTGTTCAGATTAATGAGGTCTACGATCAATCCGTTTTCAAAAACAAATACAAAACCTGTGCTTATTGAAAGAAAAAAAGTTGAGAAAAAGATTGAATCCAACAGCATAGCATAATGAGAGATTTATAAGCAGTTTTTGCAGGCAAAACATTTTTGGGCAGGAACACAAAGCAAGGTGGGGAACGCCTTTTTTGACAAAAAATGTTTTAGTCCAATGTGGTAACATTAACTAGTAGGGGTGCAACAATATATCGTGTCACAATATATCGCAATACAAAAATGCAACAATATGTATCATGGATATTGACAATATGTATTGTTAACCCAAAATGAAAATTACTGTGTGAGAAAGTTTTAGTGTCAGTACTACATTAAACTACTATATATAATGTTGAATATAATGTATAATAATGCAGTGGGGAATATTTGTGTCCTGATAATGCCAGATGCCGGATGTTACCAGTAAAAAGTGTCCTACATTATTTTAAATATATCTAGTCAGTGACAGTGAAAGCATATTCGTCTAAAATAATTCAGTATTTTCATCTTCAGAATCATGAAAATTGTTATTCTGGTGTCTCTATTGTCCTGTGCTTTGGGTTTCAGCACCAAGCCCAACACAATTCATTTACACACACACACAATGTAATATCAAATTTAGCGTTTTAATCAACAGTTAATTTTTTGTAAACCTTTTACCATATGTCTTGGAGTATCGCATTAATATCGTGACGTGAGTTCAGTATCGTGATATGTATCGAATCGTGACATGAGGATATCGTTACACCTGTACTAGTCCAATGTGGTAACATAACTAGCAATGCTGGGAAAAAGAAAAAGCATTGTTTCCGAGCTAAATGACAGGAACACAACCAGAGGGAGTTACCCGCTCTCAGGCAGGAGTGTGTTTCCCGAAAGCATCATTAGACAACTATAGTCACGAGTTCTGTCGTTATCAGCAGTTCAACGAGTCGGTGTTTCCCGAAACCATCGTTCCAACGAACATTCGCAGACAGCATCGCAGAGTTGTGTGTTTGACAGATCTAGATCTCGATCTGTGATTAGAAGCAGAGTTTCCAGTTTGCATGACATGTGGACTCAATAAATCAAAGCAAAATAAGCAAGCTGACATTCAGTGCAACCCGTGTCTTTTATTTAGAACACATACATATGTCATTTACGTCTTTGAGTTTGTCAAGAGATTTAAAGCACCGATTTTGAAGAGTGCGCATGTGTGAACAAGCTCTAGTGTGTAAGAACGAGTCTATGATTGAATCTGGAAATAAAGCGAAATAACTGAGAAAACTGACAAATATTCCTCAGATGCATGTCTGTAATTTAAATGAAAACATCTCACATTAATTCGATCTCAAATAGATTCATTACATTTACATTTAGTCATTTAGCAGACGCTTTTATCCAAAGCGACTTACAACTGAGGACTAAAGCAAGCGAGTCATCGAAAAAAAGGGAAGGAAACAACGCAAGAAGTGCTCAAAATACCAAGTTCGGACACTGCTCGGAGTAGCATTAGCCAGATAAGCGAGGATTTAAAGGAAAAGGATTTTTTTTTATTTTTTTTATGTTAAGTGCTCACGGAAGAGATGAGTTTTCAGTTGTCTTTTGAATGCTGTCAGGGATTCTGCGTTCCGGATGGGGGTGGGCAGATCATTCCACCAGCATGGAACCGTGAATGAGAATGTTGTGATTTTGTGGCTCTCTGTGATGGTACAACGAGCCGTCGCTCATTGACCGATCGTAGGCTTCTGGAAGGGATGTAGACCTGCAGTAGTGAGTGAAAGTAGGAGGGAGCTGAGCCTGTGGTCAATCTGTAAGCAAGCGTCAACACCTTGAACTTGACGCGAGCAGCGAGTGGAAGCCAGTGCAGGGAGATGAACAGAGGAGTGACGTGGGCCCTTTTGGGCTCGTTGAAGACGAGACGAGCTGCAGCATTCTGGATCATTTGTAGAGGTTTAGTTGCACATGATGGAAGTCCAGCCAGAAGAGCATTGCAGTAATCAAGCCTAGAAATGACCAGGGCCTGGACGAGAAGTTGTGTTGCATGCTCAGTTAGGAAAGGCCTGATCGTCCTGATGTTGTGCATAGCAAACCTGCATGATCGAGCTGTCTTTGTAATGTGATCTGTGAAGGTCAGCTGATCATCAAAGATTACTCCAAGATTTCTGACCGACCTTGATGGGGTGATTGAGGAAGAATCTAGCTGGATAGTGAAGTTGTGCTGTAGAGACGGATTGGCAGAGAGGACGAGAAGCTCAGTCTTTGCCAGGTTGAGCTGCAGGTGATGTTCCTTCATCCATTCCGAGATGTCCGCCAGACAACTTGAGATCCGTGCCGCTACTGTGGGATCATCTGGTTGAAATGAGAGGTAGAGCTGGGTGTCATCAGCATAGCAATGGTAAGCGAAACCATGTGCCTGTACGATGGGTCCCAGTGATGTGGTGTAAATGGAAAAGAGGAGCGGTCCAAGAACTGAACCCTGAGGAACCCCTGTGTTCAGTTGATGTGCTTTGGATACCTCGCCTCTCCATCTGACCCTGAAGG